TTTGTCAATAATTATTATTTTATTAGATGCAACTATTATCCCCGATGACATGAAATGTCTTTGTGGTTTGGAGAATGGAACAACGATTCTATAGGAGATGGCAGATGGACGCAAAACAATAGTAGTATACAATAGCACATCAGGTTATTTCTGAATAGCTTATGTTGTAAGAACATTTTAGTATTTTTTAGCAAAAGGTATTATAAATATTTTATTTGCTTCTGAATGGATTTTATAACTGCTGTGTAATATTTCTGAAATATTTAATTAATTTTTATTTTATTAAGCCATAACAACAAAGATTATTGGTTTTTGTTTCAGAAATTGTTTACAATATTGTGTAGGGAGGATTACAATTAGAGTAGTTTTAAGTTAAATTGATTTAGATTAAATTATACAAGTGGGTTAATTTTAAAAAGTTTTTATTATTTTGTTGATATTTTCTGGATCAGGAGCTAGTGCTTGCTGGAGGTTGTCGGCTATTTTCAAACTGTCTTTGGTTTCTCTGAATTCGATGCAGTTGCAAATTAAATGTTTAACTGTGAAAGTTACTCCACATGCGGGACATTAGTCAGGGTCCGTTCTAGACATGAGAAAACTGTGTAAACCAAGTGTGGCCGATTCGTAATCTGTTTAGAATTACTTCCTGCCTACGGGGTAGAGATATAACTTAACAATATCCATGGGGATATTGACGGTTTTATCTTGTTGAGTTTGGTGTGCAATTGTTAGCCATATTTGTTAGAATTGAATTATTATATTATTGTTTATTATAATTTTGCTGTCCTGTAGGGGATGGATATTAAATTGTTGTGCGCCGGGAGAGGAAATGGCTTGTTAGAATTAATTTCTTTGGAATCCAAATCATAGTGATGGCCTGCGAGTTGAGTTCTAGAGACAATATTTATATTTAATTTACTTAGTTTACTACAGATATTAGATACGTTTCCGGAAAAGAAAATGTAGTCGCTAACTCATTGTCATGCATCGAGTCAGTTTCAACCCCTTCTTAGACTTCTTAGCTCTGGCACATAGTCAAGAAACCGATCCGAAACTCACAAAAATCTTCTAGACAACAGTTCAGCTCTTCGTCTTTTTAAAGTTCCTATTCCTGGTTATGATGAATCTCTTTATTATGACACAAGCAAGGATCATCCTCGTTCGTTCTTAACACCAACTTTAAGACATCAAGTGTTTAATAATATTTACGGACTCAGTCATCCTGGAGCAAATACTTCATGACGATTGGTTTCCCAATGTTTTGTTTGACCGTCAATTAACAAAGACTATCGTGAATGGTCTCATTCTTGTCAACAATGTTAAAGAAGCTAAGTCTTTTAACATATTCCTGCGTCACTCGGTAATTTTACTGTTTCGCACATGTACATATCGACTTAATTGGTCCTCTTCCCTACTCAAAGGGATTCAAATACTATCCAACTGCGATAGATCGGTACAGATGGCCGAAAGTTATAACTTTACCAGAAATTTCTGCTGAAACTGTCACTAAAACACTCGTTTTTTCTGGATTGCGCGTTTTGGTATTCCACTACAAATCACTACGGACAGGGGACGACAATTTGAATCTCAAATTTTCCAGTCAATTGCTAAATTATTTGGTATATACTTGTCTAAAACAACTAGTTATCACCCACAGTCAAACGGTAACGTTGAACGTTGGCATCGCACTTTCAAAACTGCCATTATGTGCCATGAAGATTCTTCTAGGTCAAACGCATTACCATTGATACTCCTTGGTTCACGCACTGCTTAGAAAACTGATCTCAAATCTTCTGTCGCAGAATTAGTATACGGAGAAACATTGCGAGTACCAGGTGAGTTTTTCTCTCTACAATAAGTTTATCCTGGACCCTCAGACTTGGTGGAGAATCTCTGAAATTTAATTTCCAAACTTCGTCCTGTCCCAGCATCGTCACTCAAGTAGCCGTATTTTCATTCATCAAGATTTAGCAACGTGCACTCATGTCATGCTTCCAACTGATCAGATTCTAACTTCTCTTCAGCCACCTTATACTGGACCTTATCCTGTTCTATCCCGTAATGATAAGACTTTCATTATTTTGGTTAAGAACAAGAAGTCATCTGTGTCAATTGATTGTCTTAAACCAGCCTACTTCGTGGCCAATCATTCAGATCAACGCCTCTCAATAGAACCACCCATAGAAGAATTTCCTGACTCGTCTATAGGAAATGCCACTTTCACGACCAGACCTTCATTAACAACTCACTCAGGTCATTGTGTTCATTTTATCGATTTTTTTCAGTCATAGCAACTCACTTTCCAGGGGGGTGATGTATTGAGCGCGTGTGATTATTCGCTAATATTCTCGAACAATCGCGCCGGCGGGACGTATTGTTGCCGCCGCGTTTTGAGAATGTTCTCAAATACTCTAGCGAACGCCACCCATCGCCGCCTCTGGAAAATTCTATGGCTTATTTAAGTGCCTCATTACTTGTAAATATTACCAGTCTCTTTTATAATTTTCGTATGTAATGTTAGTCAATGTGTGTTGTTTAATAGTTATTTTCCGCATTTATTTCTCACATCTCTAACCAAAATAACTATATATTTACACTCATTATTTTATTATAATTTTTAATTCTTAATTCTTAATTCGTGCAGAGTGATTGTTCTTTAAATTAGTTTTTTGAAAGTTAAGGATTGTTATTTGATAATTGTATAGAATATGGTTGATGTCTACAATGCGTATTTGAAAATCGTTTATGTTCCATTGTATAATTGAGCTTGTAGTCTGTTTAGAAAGGTGTAGATATTTTAGTAAAGAGGTAATGAAGAGGTTAAGTATATGTTGAGTTTTGAGTTTTCTTGAATTTTAGTCTTATGTGTTTATATTGTGTTCTTGAGGATGTGATTGAAACAGTAGATTTGCCAATTTGGTTAGTTTAGATTTTGTAGATCGGTCTGTAATTTTAGATCTAACTTGGTCGATAATATACGATAGAGTGTGTAAGTCTATACTGGCTTTACAAAAAGGGTGTATATTTATGGCTTTATTTGAGAAGTTCTCTATAATGTAGTTAAATTGTGCAAAGTTTATACTTATTTTATCGTTGTTGGTGAATATATCTTCAGCCGATTTTAGTATAATATTGGGTTGGTTGAGGATGTTTTCGAGTGAATTTCTTTTTTTCCAATTTTTTAAGCAGGGTATATCATTGTTTTGGTTTTTCGTTATTTTGATGCATATATGCTTGATATGAACGTGTTGGTGATTAAGGGCAATTTGATGAAGGAAGGGGTCTTTTGATTTGTTCATTCTGTGTTTATGTGGGTTTTACTGGTATACTTAATCTGTTTGAGCTGATATTAGTATTTTGATTGAAATTTAAGTCTGTGTTTGAATCAATTTGCATTAGTCTTGAGTACCGTCCTGATCATTTGAGATTGTATTTTTTTCTGTTATTTTTTCATTGTTGACAACTATGGCTATTGACATTTATATTTTTTAATTTTTTTTTGCATTAGTTTAAGGTGTGGTCGGTTTGTTTGCATATATAACATGTATGAGTATCGTCGATTAGAAAAATTCTAAATTCTGTGTTATCATAATTTATTAATATAGAGCTGGGTACATTATGTATATCATCGGGGTGGACGTATACCTGTCGCTGGAAACTACTAAAATTATTATTGCTTAATAATATTTTAAATAGAAGAAATGAAGGAAGTGTAACATGTAACTTGTTTGTTCATATATGCATAGTGAGATGAAATCGATTCTAGCACACCAAAATTCAAATATAAAAATTGTGTATAATAACTTTATATTCTTTACGTATTATTGATACAAAGAAAGAAACTCCTAGTCGCTTTATTTACTTTTATAATTAATAAATTTAATACTATAAATATTATTAGAAAAATGAAGTCATGTAGAAATTTAGGTTGGTCAATCGTTTCTCCTCAAGAAGACTTGACGATAAATTAAAATCTGTTTTCAAAGTTCTTTTCACTTCACTATCAATCGGTACGTTTGATAAAAAACATGTTTAAATTCTATGTTACGCGTGTGTTAGACGAAGACAGAAAATCATCATCTCCAATACCTTTAACTAGAAAAATATGAAAATACATGAAAGTCCTTGGACCTTGCTCTAATTATAATATTAACTACCTAAAAAATGAAATCAATGTTAAGACCATTAGAAGATGTGCACTGTACAGCGTGCGTTGTAAGGACATGGGTGGTAGGTTCTAGGTAGTAAGTAGATTTCCTAAATATTTGGCCTAATTTATATTACTTAAAATAACAATTTATATTAGTATTATTATTAGTAATTACTAAATTCTTATGCTCAATTTTATGTTCGTGGAATGAATCAATGGAATACCGATGCAGCGATGCTTCTCCGATGAACGAACAAAATAAAATAAAACAATTTTAGACATTCACATTTCACAGTATTATTTGTATATCGTATTATATTGTATATTCAACAGTAATCGGCGTTTATTTTTGTAATTTCCTGCTCGGAGGAAAATAATATTAATAACCGATAATACATGAAGAGTGAAATGACCGTATTTTATGAAGTAATTTCAAGAAATACGAACATAAAAAGCTATTAATAAATAATTAAAAATAAATTGAAAAAAATATTTTTAACGTGATCAAAAGAACAAATTAACTTCCCAAGCCCGAACACATCTAAACCAAGAATATAAAAGCATATGATCGGACCCGGTTTCCGGTCCGCTTCGGGTTGATCTCTATGTCTCATTGTACCGTAGAATTAAACCAGTGGACACCAATTTTGGAGAGTGACGACCTGGACATTTACTCCGATTTAGTGTTAACTTTAACCTGTAGAGCCGGCGCGCTTAATAAATAAAATAAGTCGCCAAGAGGCCGATGCCGTTAACAAACGTTGACCGTTGGTCGGTCGACCTCCTGAAGCATCTCCTCCCATAGATCCAATGCCCCTACGCGTATACTCCTGTATTATAGCATTCTCACCTCGGTCGTGAGACGCGATAGGGTCGCGTCCGTCGACGGCCGCTGCGTCCGGTCCTCGGGTCCTCAGCAGCGAGTCCACCGTGAACCTCTTGGTGTTCTCGGACACGTACTCGTCTTCGGGCCGGCCGTACAGGTCCCCGGCTCCTGCCCGTTCGCCGACCATGTGCACGAATGAACTGCGAAAACGCATCGGCAACCGTCGACGGTTGGTAAGTGGTTGACGACCGCTCTGGAACCTTTTACGCTCGGTTGATGAAAATATTGCTATATCGCTATTTCGCAACGGATTCGAATTGTTTTTCGGCGCGCGCGTAGAACACGATGTCACAGCGGATCAGGACTTCATCGGACGTGCTGCGATTGTGGCACCGGTTAACGGGAGGTGGGTGTCGCGCGGACATCTGGTGGCGAGTGTGTGAAGTGACTGCGGGAGACGACGACGTGGTCGCGGGACGGCCCAACGGACGAACAATGCGCTCTGCTGCAGGGACCGGTAAAAATAAAAACGGGACCGCCTCTTTCTGGCGTGGGTGCGTGCGCGCGTGCTGTATTACCGTTCGAGGGGATGGCCGCCTTTTTGGAAGGAGTCCAACCGCGGGTGTCCTCACCGATTACGGAGTCCGTTTGAAAAATTAACGAACGCACGGCCCCGTGGCTCGCGTTGTAGCATACGACGACTAAACCAGACTTACTACGACCCTGATCGCGATTGACTCTCGACGGCCTTGCACCGGAAAACCGTTGAACGCTCAAGATACGCGCATACGTAAATAATTTTTTTTCCTTTATTACGCGAACAAACGGATTATTAACTACCGCGAATAGGTACTTAATACACAGCTTCTATTCAGGGACGGACCGAGAGTACATAGACCCGGGTGAAGAAGATTTGAACGGACCAAACATCTTTTTTTTTTTTTTAATGGCAAGCATTAAAATAGTAGAATGAAAATTTTTAAGTAGATGTTTTTCAACTAATTTAAGGTCGCTGAATCCAAAAATGATGTCAAAAAATATTTTGGACTTAGAATTTCAAATTTATCAATTATATTTTGAATGATACGTTGTCAATAACCTACATTGTTATTCGTGTATCTTTAAGGATTCATCGCCAAGATATGGTTAATATTTTCATGTATACAAATATAGTGAATAAATGATCATTTTAATTTTGTTAATTTTTTTTTCTTCTTCTTTTACATTATTTAGTCAATACTTTGGACTTATAAATGAATAATTCTTTACATGAAATTAATAACAATACATACGTTTAAATTAAAATTTTTCTCTTGCTTATCCTTTGGAAATTACATTTATAAATAATAGTATTAATAATAAACAATTTTAAAAATTTTATAGAACTAACAAAATTAAGCAAAATAAAAAAAAAATGAAATACAATTTAACAGAATATTGATAAATACTCGTATAATACAAAACAAAGGTAATTATTACCTAAATATTAAGATAATATTTACGTACTTATTAGTTATTTTTGTTTATGAAAATTAAAAAAAAAAACAATTTTTTGTTGATGTGATACTTAGCCTTGTATTACATCTGACACATGAAAATCTAAATAAGATAAAAGATAATTAATTATTTATCTAGATAATTTATTTAAATAATTTAACTAGATAATGCTCAACACTATGAACGCGACAGTTTCTGAAATTTCGTGCATTAATTTTACGGTGCGACATTTATGTGTTGTACTCTATTCAATTTAATGTATTTTAACAAACCGCATCGTATAATTACGTATAATTACTAGGAAAGACTTAGCTCTCTTCCCAAATATTTAGCTCTAGTTCCGCAACTGCTATTAAGTATTAGAATTGTATACTATAATATTTTCGTGGCTATGCCAATTTCTAAATATACTTAGAGACAGTTTAAAATTGAAATATATGTGCAGTTTTTAAAAAAAAATAATACTTTTGTCCATTAAATGAAAATGATAATTGCATAAATTGTTTATGTAAATTATAACTAAAAAAAAAAAATTAAAATGAACAGATATATTTATCATTTAATACAAAGACATTAAAAACATAATACATTTGAGTTATAAATTATTTATTTATTTGTAAACAAAAATATTTTATAAATTATTACATTATATACATTATCTACAAAAAAGTACTTCGGAGAAGTAAAAAAGGCTTTCTGTGCATAAGTTGAAGCGATTGTGAGAAGAGATAGAATTTTGATGTCAATAAATAAGTGAAATCAATCTGAACATTTTGTGCCAAAAAGGCCCATGGTTGAAAAAGTAGAATTTGGAGCGAAGAAATCAATAAAAAATCAAAAAAAAAAAATAGCACAGGATGGCGCAAACAATAAATTGCCAACAAAAATTTGAATCAAACAGATTAACTTTTAAACTCTGATTTATTATCATTAATATACATCATTCTACGCTAATTTTTTTTTCCAATGTTTGTACAGTTAAACAACTTAAAATTTTTGTGAATTGATATTTTTTCAAGTTGAGGCACAGAATTTTGATATTGATTTCATTTCTTTATTAACCTCAAAATTCAGGAAATCTTTCATTAATATGCCTTTTCAGCACAGAATTCGGGTATTGATTACTTTTTTTTTATTAAGCTCCAAATTCTAATTTTTCAACCATGGGCTTTTTTGGCACAGGATTTTGAGATTGATTTCATTTATTTATTAACATCAAAATTCTATCTTTTCTCACAATCGCTTTAACTTACGCACAGAAAGCCTTTTTTACTTCTCCGAAGTACTTTTTTGTGGATTTCAATTATTTTTCCGAAGCACGTTTTATAGTGACATCTCGGGACAATGTAATTCTTTTGATTCAAATATCAAAATGTGAGCGTTTTTTTAATTCTGAGGTAACTTGCATATGTTTCGTGCTTTGGTTGTTTATATATATCCAGTTGGTCTTGTTTTCCCTGATCATGATGCTGTATCTGCCAGATTTAAGATTATTTTCATAGAAAACGCAACTGTGTAGCTTATAGAAGTGATTGTTAATTTTTAGTACAGATGTTGGTAAAGCCTTTATATTGTAATTACAGAATATATAATCCTCAGGGTTGCTATTATCGGATATTTCCAACTGTAATTGAACTATCAAAATTTTGTTTGTAATTTTTGGATCGACTTGAACGTTCAATGAATCGCTTAAACATCTAGTCCAGGTTTTTTTAATTGAATGCTGGAAATCCATAAGCGTATTTAACTCATATGTTTTTTTCGGATCATTTTTTATGGATACTTGCAAAATATTTGTCTGAAATTCTTGGACATTTTTACAGGAACACACAGTACCAGTTTTAATATAAACACCCTTAAACGTAACGACATCATTGATCTGATTACTTTTATTTAAAATTGAATGTAAAAAGTTGGGTATTGTTATGTTATTATTTGTAGCAAAAGTATTTCATGTTCGACAAAAAGCATAAATTCTCGTAAATCTTGCAGCCTGTTTGCCTCATAATTATCGATCATCATATTTAAGATATGATCTGGTGGAAGTTTTTTTATTTCATTTCTCAATGATGAATTCGATAATAGTTAGAGGAATTTAACTGCTGCAAATGAGCTGAAGCCGTCATCTGGAAACCTTCTAAGATTGGATATATTATTCTGGATCGTTATTTTTTTGAACTCCTAAAACTTCTCTAAGAATAGTCCAAACCTGTTCAGCATGGCTATGAGATCACGGCAATTTATGGCGGGAAGATAATAACCTACCAAGTCAGGTCTAAATTTTTGTCTCAAGGAGTTGTATTGTAAAATTAATAATGTAACTGCAACAACTTTAAAAGTATCATAATTGATCAGGTGTAGGCCAGTCAAAGAAATTACTCTAGATAGGGCTACATATATTTGTCCCTTCAAAAAAGGATGGGCCCCTGCGTCAATGATCACATTCTTTAAACTAATGCCTTGACTTTTGTGTACAGTTATAGCATAGCTCAAGATCAAAGGAAACTGTTTTTTATTGACATAAACGTCATTTGATATTTCAAAAGTAACCTTTACCTGTTCAATCCCATGGATTTCATGATTCTAGCATTTATTTTAATCGTTATTTTCTTAGGCAAACCCGCTGTGACAGACGAGTCTTCGTTTTTTCCAATTTTTTTTTTAGTATACTGCCGTTGTTGTGGGTTCTTAGTGTTTATTTTATTATTGGCGAGCAGCTTGATTTCCGGCTCGTTATTTCTGGCTAACATAGCCTCGTTCAATGTATCGCACATATCTTTCGTAAGCATTATGCAAACAGCATCACCAAGAGCTTCCACATAAACACAGAGTTTGTATAATCTTTCACCTAGGTTATGGGAATTTAAATTAATCATTTGTGTTTTTAAATTTTTCGTATCACTTATAGTGCCTACCCGCTAATTGGCAAGAATTGTTTTGTAAGTGTCATTATCTTTTTGACGCATATTTATTCTTGATTTATCGTAGTTCAGTAGAGACCAAAAATCTACTGGAGCAATGGACTGTAAATTTATTCAAAGTTTCGGTTGAAACAGGCACGAAAACGGGACCATCACTAATAGGTGGTAGTTGCAGTAAATCGCCATAAACCAACAAATGCATTTTTCCCAACCAGCCATCTTCGTCGTTAAATTAATTGAATATTTAAACTAATCTCAAATGCATGTATAAAAATTGACATTTGAAACCATAGATATTTCATCGAGAATCACCATAGCTACATTTTTAAGAGCTTTTCTAATTGCATCTAGCGCTGTGTCAGAAAATGGATAGTATTAAGGCGTGCCTCTTATATGTTCAATGAGTAGTTGCAAAAATCGGTGCATGGTTAAACCTCTTACATTGAAAGTAGCTATGCCCGTTGGGGCTAGAATTGCGACATATATTTTGAGTTCCTGATGATTAGCGTGAACTAAACATTTTATGACGTAAATTTTTCCTGTGCCAGCTTCGCCATTAACGAACTTTCAACATAATTTGTTACCATTCTTAACTGATTGAAAGACTGAATTAAAAACCCTTCGTTGATCCTCATTCATGGATTATACTCCTTTTCGCTAATCAAAATTGACTTCAGCTTCTTGTTTTTTGTTTCCCTGAAAATCATCCATGGCATTCTCGACTTCTTCGGGCACACAACTCAAATTCTCAAAAATGTCATTATTTTATTCTTGTGAGTTTTGCTATTGTTGCTCTTCATCTTCAATATTTTAAGTCATTTGTTTCAGAATTATCTCTTGGTTTGTTATTTTTTCGAAATACGAAACTACGTCTGGTAAATTACCTTTTTTAGCATAAAGGAACCCTGGTACGTCTTGCAATCATTTAAAAGTTCGTCCGTCGAGATCCATTGCTATCTCAGCAATAGTATAGAATAATAAAAGTTCTCCGGCTGCGTTTTTACTTTGAAGATGTAATGACTGATAACGTATGGTTTTGCTCGCTTGATTAAATATTTTGTTACAATTTTATTAGCGAAACTACTTCTAATTTCAAAAAATTTTCTGGTTTCTCTTTTAGGTTTTTTAGGTTTCAATTCGTACCACTGTGCAAATTTATATAGGCACATGTCTGTTAATTCGATCGGTCTATTGGGATAAAGATCATCAATGAATTAACTGTAAAATACGGCTTCCGATTCTTCTTGAAGTTTTTGTATTTGATTTATCGGAAGAACTCTTTTATTTCTTATCATGAAAACATTTGGCCACTTTAAAACTGTGTTATTATTAGTGTCGTATAACGAAATCATTAAGCATACATCTGCAGCATAAACATGAAGCATACATGCTGCTTCGATTACACCACATTCTTTGTTATAGAGTGTTCTCATAGCAAAGCTCCACAGCTTCTTGGTAAAACCCTCATTAGCAAGAGCGCGTTCCGAAATATTCTGTTCCAATGCTTTCTCATTTTTTAAAATATATTTGAGGATGTATGTGACTAATGCCATCGAATGATTGCTCACAAATTGAATATCCGTGTTTCCATTCCACAACATCATAACTTATGATTCATAAGTATGGGGACATAATCATTAATATTTGATTCAGTGAATTTGCGTGGCAGATCATAAAGCCTAGTTTTTGCTTTCAAGTTTCGCCTGCCAACAATAGAAGTTTGAACGTTTCTCAAAATAAATTCTTCTGTAACTGGCCTGTCGAACCCTAAACGACAGACTTTGATGAACTCCCTTTCAGTTTTCTTATTTCTCGTGCAGTACGAATTGTGCTTATAACGCTGAAATCGTAAAGCGTGGGTGACGTATTTTTATCAGGTAATACACATGAGGAACCCCTCATAATAAACTGGGCTACTTCTTCCTCAGATAAAACACCGAGTATTGGAGCACTTTCAATCCAAACTAGCATATGGAAATGACACATTCCTCTCTGTTGATATTCATGTCTCCAAAAGTGGTGTAAACACTTTCCACCAAGCGGATCATTATCGGAATAAATGCACTTTAAAATGACCTCGAACTGATTATCCAAATACCTAGCGACTGATACTGGATCTAAAGCCAATATTTCATTGATGCTCATTTTTGACTTAATATCAGGGTTGACATCTCGAATGTACTGAATCAGTTCTGGGTCATTCCACTTTCCAGGGCTGAAGGTAACAAACAAAGTGTAACGGTCAAAAGTAGATGAGGATCCGTATTTGATTTTCCTCATTAAATATTATAACCATTTTAAATAAATGTGCGACCACTTCATCATCTATAATGCCAATGGATGAAAACACTTTGGAATTCCCTCCAATCATTCAGTAATTGCATACCTCTCTATCCAGTTGTGTAAGGTGTGTTAGTGGGTGGCCATATAATAATTGTATGATAACGAGTATTGGCCAATTATTATAATTATTATTATTATTGTTTCAATGAGCCAGTTTTCGTATATTTCTGTAAAATATTTTACTGGTTCACTTTCAGTCGCATAAATTGCCGGTCCATATTCTTTAATCATGGCGTTCAAATCACACGTAGGCTTTTTCTAATATTCTTTGGTATTTCTTACTCTGCTAAAGACGTTGTTTATCTGATTTTCTCCATCATCAAAATCTCCGTTTGCTATCTTTTAAAGATAGATTTATTTTGTAAACTTTTGGTTACCTTTAGTTAAGTTTAGCGTGTGATAAGCTCCACCATTTTCTTGACGCATGGTAGCGTTATTCATCATATGAAACAGATGTTGCGAATTTTTTCTATATCTCGGATGTTTAGATGTAACTCTCGCTTTTAGGCAATCGCAATCACGAATAGATTGGAATCTGTCTTCGTGTATTCCATTTTCACCTTTCGGATAAATATCAAGAAAACACAATATATTTAATTTTTTTTCATACCAAGGCATAGGAGTATCGTGAACTTTCTTTTGTTGATACAATTTGGTGGCCGAATTCATGGTACGACCTGATTGAATCGGAAATACCGTGTATTGTTCATACATTGGGTCCGAATTGCTTGAACATGTTAGAATAGCACTATCATGGATAGTGTGTTCACCATTGTCGTACGGTGAATGATCTTGGTTATTATTTTGCTTGTTTGTGACGACTTCATTTTTTTTTTCAGCATCGGTTTCATCTTGGAACTCTGTTTGCGTTCCATAATTTGTGCGATTCAATCTGAAGATTCTAGAAACTCAATTAAAGAATATAAAGAATTTTTATTTTTGTACCTTAACAAAGCTTTCGTGAACGTCTATCAAAATTTGCCAAACTTATTTCGCAACATTTGGGATTGATCTGACTAGAATGTACAACTCGTGATTGAGATTTAAAATATTTGTTTCCTTACATAACTTCTTGAAAGTTTGTACAATAGGTAGTGGCAAGTGATACGCTATTTTAGAATCTTTCTTAATTTGTTTCTTGAATGGCAAATTTTTATTCATTACGGTTTTGGTAGACGTAATTTATTGGAAAAATTTTACACGCTGCACCAGTGACGTATTTATAGGAGGGGATATGGGGGATATATCCCTTCCCTTACCCTTTTTTTCCATTTATAAAGTAAAAACTGCACAACTGTTGTTATTTATAATTTCGTTATCCTGTGGGCTGTGACTGACAACATGTGAGAGACATTACACAACAATAACTACACAAAATTAAAATAGAACCATATTCAGAATTCGAGTAAAACCCGCTTGTACCTACCATATAATAAAAATAGCACATTGCTATACTAAATATTTACAAAATTTGCCGTGCACAAAACTGCTTTCTAAAGCAACACAGCGGACTATAGGAAATCGTGAATTTTATAATAAATATTATTTCTAATAGCATCGCATTATCGTGGTTGCACATTTGTACATCATTCCACCTTCCCGCTCTCCGAGTAACAATATATCCGCATTGCCATTGCACACTTGTTATTTTTATGTACCTATCTAATTCTTTTTTTGAAGTAAATAAATAAATTTTAATTAAATAATCGAAAGTTATAACTCAATGGCATCAAAAAAACCATGCAGTAATAATTTATTATCATATTTTACAAAAAATAAAAAGCACGCACAGGTTCATATGAAAATAATGAGGTAAGTCTGATTTATTACGTTTTAATTGCATACATTGTAATATTTTTTTATTTGTTAAGATTGCTACCACTACGGTGGATGGAATAATTGTTGATAGTCAAAAAGTCTCTTCAGATAGAGACAGTAATATTCGACTATTTGATCTTAATTTACAATCGAGTAAAGTAAGTATGTGGTTTATTTTCTTGATTGCTGTTATTTAATGCCACTGTAGTATTTTTAATGAAAATAATGAAACCTAGTTATTTTAATTAAATTTAACAAATGTTAAATAATTAGATAATGCACTCATTGAATAATATATTTTCATAGTTGAATTTATTATTTTTTTATTCAAAATATTCTTAGTAGTAGGAAACATGTTCTACAATTTTTTTCTTTATAAGCTTTTAATTTATATTTAGATGTTGCATGCAAGCATTCTATTTATTACATTTAAATTATTAATTAAGGTTGATTTTGGTTGTGGAAGTAAAAATGAAAAAACACTAGCCAGTCCCAATAATGATATTGGATTTATAGAAGATAGAGTAGTATTGACAGAAGATGATAAAAAGCTTTTAAGTTCATTCTTGAAGCAAATTTAGAGAAGTCTGTAATTATTTAAATCTATTTTGAGTTTTCACTAATACATTACATTTAACCTTGTTTAGGTGCTTACGGATTTGTGTGTACCAGATGATTTTTACAAATTCCCATTACTCGAAAAAAAATAAGAAACGTGGCTTACGGTTTCAACAAAAATGGCTGAAAGAGTTAAATTGGCTGGCATATTCAAATGTAAAAAATGGTACTTTTTGTAAATACTGTATCCTGTTTACAAGAAATAGTGGGATTGGAAATTAACCTTTAGAGAATCTTGTTACTGTCGCATTCACTAACTGGAAGAAAGCAAATAGGTTTATCATTAATTCATATTATCATAACATTTTTATTTTTTGTTTTAACTTCAATTACAAATATTTCAGGTATATAGAGTTAATTCCAGTTTAAAATATCATACTTCTTCTGTACTAGATTCTGAGCAATTTTTGAAAATAATGGAAAAAAAGGAACCTATAATTTAACGAATAGATAAAAATAGGTAATTTAAAATATTAGTTTTATGTAATAGTAGTTATATCTGTTTAAATTATATATATTTATTAATTTAATGTTATTTTAGAATACCTACTATAAATAGAAGAAAATAGAAAAAGAATTAAAACAATTATTGAATGCATTATATTATGTGGTAAAGAAGAATTGGCTTTAAGATATCTCTAATCACCGTAAAGATGTTGGTCCAATCAATGTTGATGGTAAGTAAAAATTTGGAGCAAAGTAACTTAGTAACCAGCTCTTATAGTATTTTGAATTTTTAGATGATATAAGACAAGGTCATTTTCGTGCCATATTGAAGTATAGAGCCAAAAGAGACGACTTTCTACATACTGTTCTGGAAGGTTTTGGTAAACGTAATAAGTACAATAGTCCAGTCATTCAAAACGAAATAATCCAGGTGTGCAATATTATATTACTACGAAAAATAGTAAATTAAGTTAACAAATCAAAATCTTTCTCGGTTCTCGCCAATGAAACAATAGATATATCGACAAAAGAGCAGCTCTCTATACGTGTTCGTTATATTGATTAACAAAATATGCTAAATGAGGACTTTTTACAGTTCTTTGAAATTAAAAGTTTGACCGTTGATGTCTTGGCAAATTCAATATTAAATGGTAATTTTTAATTAATAATTAACTTATTTAGTTTATTTTATGTGTATTAGTTTTTTAGGTTTAAATAGATGCGGTCTAGATTGTAATTATTCATATGGCCAGGGCTACGATGGGGCCAGTTATATGACTTGCCAATTTAAAGGAGTTCAAACTCTTGTACGGTCTAAATAACCCAAAGTTTTGTATGTGCACTTTGCTGCACATTTGTTGAATTTGGCAGCTTCAACAGGAAGTGGAATAAAACCTATCAGAAATTGTTTAGAACTCATTGAAAAAGCGTACACATTTTTTAACACCCCCAAAAGGAATTGTATTCTTGTACATGTAATTGAAAATTTTTACAATGAACCTAGCATAAAACAATTGAAACGACTTTGTGCCACACTCTGGATTCAACCCTATGATTCGGTAAATTATTTTTCAGAGCTATTCCCATTTGTTCTTTCAGCATTAAAAATTATTTAGATTGAATGAATCAATTAATACTACTCCTACAAGGGCATCTAAAATAATAAAATGTTGGGAAAATAAAAATAAAAATATGTCTGCCACTCGAATGAACGAAGATAAAGCATTGTCATTACTAAATGCTAAATTAACTAAACATCAGAGTCAACTTATTAGATTAAATGCTTAAGAAAACAATTCAGATAAAAACTTACCAACCTTACAACTTAATAAGAGAAGCAAAAACACGGTGCTATCCTCCCAAAGAAGCGTTTATAATTACTGAATCTCTTGCTGAAATTTATCTGCAAGAACTCCTTGATCACACGGCTTTTCGTATAATAAAATGTCAGTGGAGTGTAGTTGATGGTTTTTCTACCGAGAATATTACTTCAATGACTTTGATTACGAAATGGGGTTTTGATCGCAGTACAGGTCATAGTGAATATAAGCTAAAATACAACGAAGATTTTAGTGACTCACAAGTACTTTTAATGTCATTAGTACCTATTCAGTTATTTGTCAGTATATCCCATTCACACAAATTATATGGAAAAATCCTCAGCCATATTGTACAAGGTATTTTCGACCAATACGATTTCAGTTTAAAAAAGAAACAAAAGAAATAAATTTAAAAGAAAAAAAATACATCCAAAATCAAATTAAAGAATTAAAACTGATCAAATTATCAATAAATAACTATTATATAGATATTTCACTTGACATGCAACTTATAATGGTCGATGGAAAAGTTTGTAATGCAATTATAACCATTACTTCAGCACAAAAACGTTATATTTGTAAGACTACACCAGTAGAAATGAATCAAATCGAAAAAGTTATAAATAAGGAGATAGACCCAACATAACTTTTTAGCCTTTCAACTCTACATGCTTGGATTTGGTTTTTTGAATATTTTTTACACATTTCTTACTGTCTGGATATAAAAAAGTGGCAACTAAGGGGTGAAGATAAAGACAAATTTTTATCTAGGAAAAAAAAATTCAAGAAAAATTTAAAATCATTATGGGGTTAAAAATAGATTATGTAAGATCAGGAGATGAAGGAACATCTAATGATGGGAACACTTCTCGAAGATTTTTTGATAACCTTCAAAAAGCAGCTGAAAAACAGGAATAAAAGAAATCATTATTAAAAATTGTGCAACAATTCTTAAAATGATTCTTAAAGTCTTAAAGATTGTCATCTGGTTATGCAATAAATGAAGAATCATTCAGTAAATACGCAATTGAAACAGCTAAATTGTTAGTAAAAGAATATCTTTGGTACTATATGCCATCCTCAGTACATAAAATATTATTACATGACTCATTAGTTATTTCTACTGCTTTACTTTCCATTGGCCAAATGTCCGAAGAAGCACAAGAAGCACGCAATAAAAACCTAAAAAATATTCGCGAAAATTATTGTAGAAAATGTTCTAGGGTTGAAACAAATGAAGTCCTATTACATGGTTTTATTACATTAGTGTCATCTGATCCAGTCATTTCTAGCCTAAGAATGTTACCACCTAAAAAAATTTATTTTTCTCTCAAGAAGTATTACAATTACTTATTGCAGCACAATGAACAAATGATTTGAAAAAAAAATAGTTCAAGTGCAAGTGATGAAAATTAATACAAATATTTATTGTTATATTTTGTATATTTTTATATTCAGTATTATAATAATAATTTACAGTGTACTTTATTTCAAATTGTAATTTTTAATTTTAATAAATAAACGAAAATTTGTTTTCTTTAGTGTAAAAAATAATTCAATATTCAATAAAGTATGCAATTTATAAATATAGTCAGTCAACCAAGTCTTGTTGAATCAAGTCAATTGAATGACCAAATATGCCATTTCACACAAAACATGCAAAACATGCTTCATTAAACTTTATATTTTTATTATCAATGTTATGAAACGGATTTGTAAGTCACTAAGCATGTTTATAATCAGGGTCGGACCGGCCCAGACCGCAGGTCCGCGTTCGCTGACTGGGCCCCCTGCTGGTTTGGGCCTCCTGACTTTATGTTCAATGTTCATATTTTAAAATGTTATATGATATTGCTATTTAATTAATTTAACTGTATACAATTTAAATATATTTAATCATGTCTTAACATTAAAGGAATCCTTATTGCGGTACAGCAGTCTGAAAAATATTTGGACCGTTGTTGCACGGTATCTTTTTTTCGGAAATAAATTGATTTTAGTATAAATATAAAATATTATTTAAGTCATTGCAGTCGAACCACTATCGATATAATGGTTTTGTCTTCACAAAATCAATTTAATTAATATTATATATATTATAATAGAGATGTGCAGTTCATGAGTGAGTCGACTCTTTTTAGTGAATTGAATGAATTGAATCAGTGTATTTATCGCAAATCAGCGACTCGGCAATTCAGTACTAACACTGTATTGAGACCACTGAACTATAAGCCTGTAAATGAGTTGAATCAGCCAAGCCACCAATTCCAAATCTGAAATTATCGTCTTATCAATAAGTTCAGTGTTATACTGTCGCACGGTTAATACTTTAATAGATATTATATTATTATTTTTATACGTGTATATTTTATCATTTTACATGTATATCAAACAACATTGTAATAATTTGTAATAATTATAACTAATTTACCCTGCCACATAATAAGCTTATATATTGTAGATTTATATTTTTATTTTTTGGGGTCTATCTGATTCTGAATGTTGGCAACCATTCCAGAAATGCTCTTTCTTTACTTTATCGTTGCTTACAAATATAAATCAAATAAAATTATATGCAGGGTCGTCTTAGAGTATGCAGGGGCTCATGAAGCTTAGCTGACCTTCTAGTAGGCAAAAAAAAAAAAATGAAATAATGGGATAAGAAATAAGATACTTAATGCAATTGCACACAATTAAGTATTCATTATTTATTTAACAATTCATCTAAGTTTTTTTATAAACTGCCGTATTAATACGTTACAACTTAAATTTAAAGTTATAATTTCTATTTTTGAGGCCCCCAGCAAGATGGAGGCTTTGGGCACGTATCCATTTGCCCATATGGTAAAGACGAAACTGATCATATGTGTCCTACATTTCCAACTTCCCCCCTACAAAAGTGGCTGTATCCGTCAACAGTTTTTATATGTGAATTTATATTTAAAATTTTAATTCTTAAAAAACAATCTTTCCCATTAATTATTAACTACTAAATGTTAATTTTGAAAACTTAATTTAGGTATGATTACTGATAAAGTGATAACTATGATAATTGATGAGTGATTAAAAATCAGCTGAAAAAAAGGATATTTTAAAATTTAATAGATTTGATTCGATTCATTAAAATGTAGGTTCAAACCGTGACTTGGTTAAGATTTGACTTATCAATTGTGAGCTGATGAATTGATGAGTTGACTTAATGAATTGGCTCATTTAATTGAGTTGAATTGAGTGAATTGATTCACTAAAGTGAGTCATAATTCTCATCTCTATTATATAATTTTATTGTAAAATCGGTTTTCCTGTATTGCTTTGAGGATCAGTAATAATTATTTTCCATCTGTAAATTCGAATGGTTTTATTTGTTTAGAGGAATTTAAGTCTACATTAAGATCAAATTATTGATAAATTCTAAAAACTTTTAAAATTGGTAATAGTTTATGACTGCAGTAGAAAATATTTATATGATTTAATTTCAGGTGAATTTCATAAATTATCTTTAGATATTTCTAAAATTATAGGTTGCTCCTTCGATGGAGCAGCTAACATGAAAGGAACCTATAATAGTTTACAAGCACATTTAAAAAACGATAATGCATTATATGTATACACACATTGTGTAGGGCATGTACTGAATTTGGTTATGGTCGATTCATCTTAATGTTGCGTGAATGCAAAATTTCTATTTAGCTTAAAACAATAATCTTCGACATTTTTATCAGATTCCTATAAAATAATCAAAATTTGGTGTGATTTGACAAAAAAAAAAAAAACTTATAACAAAATCAATAAATTAAGGAGATTAAATTTAATTGATGCTACATATTGGTGGAGCAAAGATAAAGCATTAAGCTCTATTATAATATTTAATGAGACTGATATAAAAAGTTCTAGATTTTATTATTTTTAATTTTTTTGTTAGAAATAATTTCAAATAACTCTACATTTGATACAGAAAAAAAATTCACTGCTCGCACTTTACTACAAAATTGGTCTAAGTTTAATGTGATTATGACTGCAGCAATTTATCTGGATATATTCAATATTAGCTTGCTTCTTTCTAAATTTCTTCAATCTCCATCGTTAAGCTATTTAACTGCTTTTAATATGATTAAAAATTTGCATAAAGAAATTAGATTTAGAAGAGATAATACTGATAGTATATTTATTAAACTTTATTCTAAAGTTAACCATTTTATTATAGAAATAAATAAAGAGCTTGAATTAAATGGTAGTAATTTCATTATAAAAAATTATTTTAATGACGGAAAATTTGTAAGGAGAGTATCAAAAAAAAAAAAATAAATAAATAAAAAAAATATGCCTGGTAAAGATGCAACTGATGAACGGCCAAATATTTTATTAATTGATAGGTTTAAAATTGAAACATTTAATTTCATACATGATATTTATGCAAATAGTTAAATAATATGCAAATAGCCACTTCAGCCGATTAAGTATTTATTCACTCGAACTACGGATTTTTGCCGGATATGATTTTAAAATTAGAAAATCAAGGACTTCCGATAGTTGAAGCTATTGAAATAATTAAAAATTTTCAAAATAAATTATACAATATATTTTGTGAAATCGGAATTTTAGTATATGAAAAATCCAAGAAAGTTATTGAAAAGAATAAGGGATTTGAAACCATTATTAAAATAAATGATATACTCACTGGACAAGAAAAATGTTTCGATGGTTTACCCGAAGACTTGACAGTAAGCGATTTACCATTTTTAAATACGCTCATTTAACATCAACCGACGTAGAACGAAGTTTTTCGAGGTATAAGAACTCATTGGCTCCAAATAGAAGAGTGTTTGAATTCAAAAATTTAAAACAAACACTTATAGTTCAATGCAATGATGTTTAAAATTTAAAATATTTAATATTTTTTGTATACTTGTAGATTATTAATTATTATTATAAAATTTAAAAAATATTTTTTTGATAGAATTAAAATAAAACGTCTATAAATTGTAATGAAACTTTGTTATTTTTTAGTGCAATTTTTAATATTTTAAGTGCAATTTTCGGTATTTTTTAGTGCAATACTGCAATTAATTTTACTAGTTTTTTACTATTACAACATTCGTGCCCTAATAATTACTATTCTTATTTGACATTAAGTATAAGAAGATAAGTTTTTATAAAATATAATTTGTTAGGTAATTTGTTTTAATATTGATATAATTTATGTATTTGAAAAATAAAAATAATTTTTAAATGTTACAAAATTATAAATATATCATTTGTATTGCAATTTTTAGTGAACATTTATATTTTAAAATATATTGTATTGGTCCTTTTAATGATTTTAAAAATAGTTGTGGGTATCTAAAACGCAAAGGAAAAAGAAAGCCCACATGATATTGTGAATATGTGAATTGCTTTAATAATAAAATATTTAAGCCATAAAAACGATGAGCATATTATATTTTATTGTGCTACGAAATAAGAAAAAGTTATATAAATTTCTTGTATTATAACATATAGCTATATATTTATAGCTATAATGTTATTGAATGGTATACACACCTATTAATATTTATTATTAGTTCGTGGCTATGTTTGTTTGATATACATTAGTACTGGTCTAATACATTGAAAATAATACAATTTTTGATACAATTACGTATGATAGGTCATAACCTAAGAGCGGATTTAATTGACATTGCAACTTTTTATTGATACCCAGTAAATCAAATCTGATGAAATATGTATACGAATCAAATTAATTATAGTTTTCCTATTTAATGTAATTTTTTTGCAATTTTCAACGATTTTGTAATTTTTTGCAATTATTGCAATTTTTTTATACTTTACGTGATAAAATATATAAATTATTATTTCCAAAGTGATTTTACAAAAAAAATATAACTACTACGTACATTTTTACATGTAGTTAAATGTAGTTTAGGATTTTTAAAATTATATTTATCTGTGTTATTCACAAAACTTACAAGTTTAGAAGAATAAAATAGTCATTTACTTAATAGTTTAAATATATTTAGTATAAATGCTAAATAAATAAATAAATAAATACTAAACAAATACTAAATAAAAATATTTAGTATAAATATTTCTATAAATATTCCTGGTCCTAATGGAAAAATAGTTAAAGATAAATTAAAATATGTCTTAGAAAGAAATGAAGGATATAAAATTATCAAAACTTACTCTGAGGTTATGGCAAGAAATCAAAATTTTTATTTACATATAACACCCAATTTTGAAACTATTTTAAATATATATATGCATCTATTATATTTTATCATATATTTTATATATGCATCGATAACAAGTGTCGACGTTGAACGTACTTTTTCATTATATAAACATATTTTGAGTAACGATACAATTTTCAAGAACACAATTTAGAATATATGTAATTATAAATT